GGTCGAACGCCGAGAATCGAGAATCGAGAGACCTGCCTCTGAGGTCGAAAGCTGAGAATCGAGAATCGAGAGACCTGCCTCTGAGGTCGAACACCGACAAATGAGAATCGAGAGACCTGCCTCTGAGGTCGAAAGCCGAGAAATGAGAATCGAGAGACCTGCCTCTGAGGTCGAAAGCCGAGAAATGAGAATCGAGAGACCTGCCTCTGAGGTCGAACGCCGAGAATCGAGAATCGTTGAGGTCTAAAAACAAGAACTGAATGACCACTCCCTGAAGTCTTGAATTTGAAAATTTGAATTTACGTCTGTTGTGTTTCGGTCACCATGTTCGAGCTCTCTTATACCACCTCGTCCTATCGCCCCTCAGTTCAAAAGTTAAAATTCAAGCCTATTGTATACTCCTGCTCGTGACGGAATGAATCCCATCTCCTTTCCTTTAAAGTCGAAAAATCAATTCGACAAAACCAAGATAAAACGCAATCAACCTGCTCATGACAGAATGAATCCCATCTCCCTTCCTTTAAAGTCGAAAAATCAATTCGACAAAATCAAGATAAAACGCAATCAACATGCTCATGACGAAATGAATCTCATCTCCCTTCCTTTAAAGTTGAAAAATCCATTCGACAAAATCAAAACCATGTAAAGATCCTCGACCTGCTTCTGAGGTCTTCAATAAGCTCCATATCTTCAACGACCCAACATTAGAATCAACCACCCAGCCCGGAGGCCTTAGTCATGGTGGATTTTTTGTCTTCGAACACATGCCCACCCTCGAATGAGTGGTCGATACATGCGACCACCCAACCCGGAGGCCTTAGTCATGGTGGATTTTTTGTCTTCGAACACATGCCCACCCTCGAAGGAGTGGTCGATACATGCGACCACCCAGCCCGGAGGCCTTAGTCATGGTGGATTTTTCCCTTTCGAACTGATCGAGCACTTCGACTTGCCACTGAAGTCGACAAGAAAACACACCAAACACCACGAGATAGAATAGTGATCGATCATTCTCATTAGCCTCATCAAATGCATAGTTATATCGAACAAAATAAAATAAATCAAGTATATTTTTCGACCTCCCTTTCATGTTTGTGCATGACGACCTGTGTCGTCGTTCACTTCCCACTGTCCACTCCTTACTGCAACCATGCAGTGTACATCGATAGCCGATCCTCCTGTTCGTGTATTTTCCTCAGCAAGAATTTAACAATTTCATTAGTCGTATTTTATCACATCATCCCATTTGCAATCCCGATAGCAACCATAACAAGA